CTATCACGCGCCACCGCTGATTGTTGTTCGCCGCTGCTAGAAATCACCAAAAAAAAAAAAAAAAGAACCGTGCGACTTGTTGGATTCGGCACGGATATGGTGAAAACGCGCTGAAAAACATCGTCAATCCATGAAATTACGCAATTCGGCCGTCGGGTTCTTTTCCGACGAACTTTCATCGTGCTTTCTCTCTCCAGCTCTTCTGGTTTCATGCACAGACAAGGCCAAAAAACTCTTCCTTCCCCTTCAATCGCATAGATCAAATGATGAAAGCCCCGATTGCGCGTTTTGTTTCTGACCAACCGCGATCTTTTAGCAAGCCGCGCACACGGACCGGTTTCTTCCGCCTAGTTGCGAGAGGAGCAGTCGCGCGTACGGAGCGATTCGAATAGGTCTGGTTCGCTACCACCATCACCGATCATAGTTGTTGTTGCTACTGCCGCTGCTTCTATTTTTTAAAGGGGGAAAACTGGCCGCTTCTATTTTCTTTCTTTTTTCTTGCTAATTTCCGAAATTTTTTTTGGTACTCTCTCTCACAACCAATCTACTTTCTCTCCCTAACCCAGTTCAAATCTGACCTCTGATACCACTTGTTGGGAAAAATAATCCCTAAAACATGCACAATCACAAACAAAGTAAAAGCAAAAAAGAAAATAACATAGAATTTTACGTGGTTCGATAATGTGCCTATATTCATGGATAAGACTAGTAAAAAAAATATTCTACTATGATCAAAAGAGAGTACAACACTCATATGTTAACAAGTCTATATATAAGGAGGCTTTTAGGATTTTTTTTATATCCCCAGAATACATATAATATTAACCCCCAGGATAATTACAAAAATACCATCATAATTAAAATCATCAAAATTTAAACCATATCAACAACTATGATAAAGCAATGGAGCAATAATGGGAAATTTTAAATACATCCACAAAAACTACAAGATCGATATGTTTGGACATGTGATCACTAGGAAGATATTGCATGCCGATTTTTTCATCTGCAGCAACATTTCAGAAAAACAATAAGATCAAACAAAGAAGGAATCGGTATATTGATCACTTAAAAGACATCATGTGAGTCAGGATATTCAATTCCAAAGATCAAATTTTGTTTATTGATACAATAGAAGTAATTATAATATTCAATTCTACAAATTATGATTTAAATACCTCAGAGATGTCATCATCTGACAACAAGGATAGGCCAACATCTGATACCATGTTGTTAACTTGTAGAAGAATTTCAGTATTGGTTTCACCACTTGAGAGTTTCTTTATACCTAGAAAGACATGCACCAAAGGGGTGAAAAAATTGAAACAAAATTGTTTCAAATGGAAAAAACAATTATTGAATTTTAGTTTGTGTTCGATAAAGATTAAATTGACAATGCAACATTGATAGTGTTGACAAACAAAATAATCTAAACTAGAAAATAACAAAAATAATAAACTCAAATATACCATACTTTCTAGTCACACCTTTAACTTGTACAAGTTTGCAGGAAAGATTCCATAACTTCTCTCTAGGGTCCTTTTTGAGTTTCACAAAGCTTCCTACCACCTTATCTTCACATTTCCAGGCTGTGATAATAGCTTCTCCAGTAAGCTCTTCCTTAAGTAAACAAGTTTCATATTATCACACTATGGA